AAAGTTGCGAAGCTGCATCGCTCAAAGTTGAAGTTCGGAGCGTCACGGATCTTGCTCCGTCCCACGACGCCCGTTTCAGCCTCAAATAGATCCATGGAAGCATTGGCAAGCCACATGATGAGCACCAGGGATCCGGCCCCAGGAGATCTGGACAGTCATGTGAAGCCATTCCAAAATTTCGTTCTAGGACGTAAGTGTCACATCATGGCATCGAGAAGCATGCGAGCTTCTGCCATGACCAGGCAGGCCCGCATGTCGTCACCACACGCGATTGAATGGTCAACTCGAGGGATGGTCCGGTAGTTGACAGGAGTTTGGAGGCCCGATGCCCGGAACCCTGGCCTGGGAAGTCTAACTCGAGTGGGCCCCTCTTTCGCAAAAGACTAACACGCAAAAGCCTAAACCCAAACTCTGTTGAGACTCCTCCAAAACGCTTGTGAAGCCCTTGCGAAAACGGTTATATCCCCGAGATGACCCGTGTGAAACCCTTACTAAGCCCCTGTAGGCGACCGAAGGCGTTCGGGACCAGAGCCGCGCCTCTTGTGGCTCAGGTTCTTCAGCGAAGGCCAGTGCGGAGAGTGTCGGATTCTTTGCGGTTTTGGCGTCGTGGTCTTTGGCTTCTTCTTTTTTTTTTTGGGGGGGGGGGGGGGAGGGTCAGCTCCGTAAACCCCAAACCCTAAGCCGTGGGGTACAAGGTCTCGGGGAAGATGAAGAGATGAGCAGAAACTGGCCAGACGTAGATCTCCTGGTGATGTTTCGTTTGGCAGACTTTTGGCAGGGTGGTCGGGTTTTTAAGCCATGACAAGCCAGCCAGCGAGTGAACTGGTGGACTTGTTTCCCTGTCTGGCCTTTTTGCAACGGGTGGTCAGAATCCCTTCCGGACAACTATCTGGGACCCCCCCCCTGCAAATCAGGAAGCGTCAAACCGAACTCCTCAACCCTGATCACTAGCCCGACACTCTAAACCCTGAACACCCGAACAGCAAAACCCTCCAGGCTTGATGCCAGGCTCGACTCCAGGCACTGCAGCATCTTCCTCTGTGAGACGGTGAGAAGCTTTGCAGTGGAGTTTGAGTAGAACATCCCAGCCGGTGGCTTGTACGTTCTAAGCCCTGGATCTTGAGAAGCCCTATGGCTCAACACCCCCCCTTGAAGCTCCAGAACCTGCGTGTGGGCAAACTCCGGCAGTCGCTTGATCCGGTCGGTGGCCGTGCTGGTGCGCAGCTTGGGTGTTTTTAGTTCGCATCCGCTGGGCACCAGCTGCCATGTAAAGCCATGGCGGCTCAGAGTCCGTCTGCGCACGGTGTGTCGCCGTGCCAACGAGCCCAAGAGGATGCTTTTGTCTCATAGCTCGGGAATTTGCTCTCTTTGCCTTCATGACGTGTTGGTGGTTAAATCAGATGCGCAGATTTGAGCACCACTGGCCCTTGGCTTCAAGGGTGACTGATGATGTCCTCCCCCAAGGACTGCCGGCCTTGCACCTGGAAGAAGAGCGCATTGCCGCATTGAGCGGCATGCTCTCCGCGTGCGCCTCAAAAACAATGCAGGCAATGTGTTTAGCTCAGCCAGCCACTAAACACATGCACCAAACAAAGTCATGAGGCTCAGAAACTTCAGCTAAAAAACGAGGTGGAGGGGGGAGAAACAAGCATACAGGAAAACAGAGCACATTTCACAAATGCCGTCAGGTACTGCAGCTGTCAAATCCTTTAGAACCGAAAAGGGGGGAGCAAGACAAAGCAAACAGAAAAACTACTCAACAGCAACGGGAAGACTCTCACTGATGGGATACTTGCACCCGGCTGCTCAGCTCAGCGGCGTGCTTTGGTCCTGTTCAGGAATTCCCGAAGCTCCCGTTGCTTTGCTCGATGTTCGGTTCGCGAAGGGGGGTTCCTAGCATGCCAGCCTTGCGTCCGCGCATGTGAAACGCCCGAAGCTGTCGATGCCGCTTGCTGCAGCTCCAAGCTTCTGGCTGAACATTGCGTGTGTCTGTCGCATTCCGGATTGTGCCTGGCGACCTGTCGTGCGAGAAGGAGGGCTTTGGCACGGGCTCGCTTGTGTACAGCAGAACTGGGGGGGCAGTCCAGGGGCGGAAGGTTTTGTGCAGAACCGGACCAATCTGAGTGGGTCGACTTGGCTCTGCTGAAGCTCTGCTCTTGCAAGAGGAAGCATGAAGAAGCCCGCGAACATGTCCCGAAGCCCAAGACAGTGTCGGTTCAGGAGTTATTTCCGCGGAATGCCCCTCTGTGCAGACTCTTCGTCGGCTCTTTTGCGGCAGGCGTGCAGATTCCTCTGCCCGATGTTGATACCTCTTGGGCGGGTATTGAGTATCTCTGGCTGAATGGTGACTCCCAAACCTAGGCGAAAGAGGAGGAGCAGTTCGAGTAGCCGATAATATGTTCAGGTGGGAGGATCGAGCTACAAGCCATTTCTATGCAAGCTGCATGGCTCAGCTGTCGGTGAGAGGTCCCACCCAACGGATAACAGCGACCAACATATGCAGCCAAGGATGACTTTAAGTCAGGGCAACACGGAGGTAGGTAACTGTCTGACGGGCAACAGGCACCCATTCCACGAACTTAGCGGGGCAGCACTGGGTGCCACGAACTTCTGCGAACCCGACGAAAGGTTCACGAAGGGCCCAAGGGTTAGCTGGAAGACTAAGCCATGGAGAGTAGATGCCCCTGCGAACTCAGGGAAGGTTCTACGAAGTTAGCAGAAGGGCACGGGGCTTCGTACGAAGGGACAGGGGCTTAGGCGAACTTAGTTTTGGGTGCATCCCTTGTCCGGTCTAAGTGTTGCCTACCTTTGTTTTCCCCAAATTAAGGTCGTTGTAGAGATTTCGCTGAAGTTGCGCCTGTAGCCTAACATTCTGCCTTCTGACAGCTGGTCCAGTACTCGAGGATAACATTCAAGGACAGGTCCTGGCCGACTGGAATGACAGAATGCCAGGTTCAGGTGCGGTTCCTCCGGGATGCGGGACAAAAGGGTTGATCGAACCCTTGTCCCCAAACCCTAAATCCATGTGCAGCTCAAGCACAGGTTTCGATGCTTTGCGCTTTGTCCGACAGGGGCAGATCCAAACCCCCTGCAGGAGGAAACACTAATGCCACGAGCTCTGAGGAAAGGAAACCCCAATGCCACGAGCTCTGAGAAAAGGCTCACAGCACTAAGCCGGCATTTCAAATACTGTGGGAGTTTCAGACTTGTGGGGACCGGAAAATAACACCTAAGTGAGAATGAAAATCCAATCGAAGGGTTGGGAGCATAAAGTGGTTTGCTTTCGTTGCTTGCACACGGCCGCTCGGAGAGCGTCAGGGCAGACACTTTCCCGTCACACGCCTCGGCCTCAGCAAGGGTTCAAAAAAAGTGAAAATGATAGGATCCCTCGTCTGAGAATCCTACAAACGGACCTCTACTCGGAACCCCCCCATATTGAAACGAAGCGGCGCTGCGAGCCTGGCGTTTGGGGTGCAGGTTTCCTCGCCGACGGAGGCCTCTGCCAGAGTGCAGCGGTGTCTTTGGTTGTGTTTGGTTGTGTCTCCTGCATTCCGTTGCGGAAAGGTGGACTCGCAGCACTTTCTGCTTGAAGGCCTCTCTGGTGGCTTTCTAGGCTTCTAGGCTGCAGGGCCAGGATGGCCTGGGAGAAGGCGCTGGAGGCCCCAGTCTTAACTAACGCCTTGGGGAGGGGCCTCTCAGGGTCCGGGTCCACAACACATCTCCCGCCTGAACATGTGGTTCATGAAGGGGCCGCGTCTGCTGTGTGTAGCCTTCTTGCTATGCAAGTGTCCATCTTGAGACTTCTCGACCAGAAGTTTGACTCAATGCCTGAATGTATCGCGGCCCCCCGGGCCCACAGCAGATTTTGCCATGTCCGTCGATTTCCCGGCTTCCTGGCCGGAGCGATGCGACCGTGATTTTTGGCAAAGCCTGCATGAAAGCTTGGAACACCACCCAAAACCCATTTCCTCGTGCTCTTTGCCCCCACAGCACTTATCGTGTTTCTTGGGGGGCCTCCTCAAATCCACATCGGGCTCGTTCTGGTGGACCTCATGAACACTTCCTTTTGGAAGACGGTCGCCGCGCTGCTTGGTGCGCCGGTTGGCCGTGCCATGTTGTGCGTTTCAGATCACAGTTGACGACAACCTATTGATTCTGTAGACTCGTCTGCGGCTTCTTGTTGGGAGGATGAAGTAGGAATGCCGTGCCATGTTGTGCGTTTCAGATCACAGTTGACGACAACCTATTGATTCTGTAGACTCGCTTCCTCGTCTGCGGCCTCTTGTCGGAAGCGGTTTGGCTGCTGGTCGACAGTGCACGGCGCGTCTCCCTCCTTTGGCCCTGCTCCAGCTTTGTAATCTGTAAAAGCTGTCAGCATTTAAATCCTAAATCCTGAAGGGTGCCCTTGCACCTAGTGGAGGGTGAGGAGTTGAGGGTTTTGGGTCCTCGGGCCCCCACCCCCAGATCTTAAACCCTGAACCCCCTATTTTAGGGTTTAGGGTTTTAGTGTTCACCAAGCTGCCAGGTGGCTGGTGAGAGGTAGAAGCAACCACAAAGGGCGCAGGATCCTAGGAGACATCGATTCCAGTTGCCTTGCCAGTGAAGGGTGCTCGAAGTTTTTTTTCTCCTGGGAACCTGATGCTAGCGACTTTGGTCATACCTTTACGAAGGCTCAGGAGCCAGGATGAAGGTGAACATTCAGGGGTCCTACGAAAACCTCGCAGCAGGGGGGGCGGAGGGGCTCACACCGCTCTCTTGCCGGAAGGGGACTCGAGGTGCCATCTGAATTTAGGGCACCAGAGCTCCCCCCTAAACCCTAAGCCCATCCGCTAGACCTTTGAAATCCGAGCTCCTCCTCCTTCTGGAAAGCACCACCAAGCAAAAGCAAGCAGGGTTTAGGGGCAAAAGGGTAGAGGGGACGGCATGAGACCTGGATGCGAAAGAGGAAGACTTGAGCTGCGCATTTTTGTCAGGGGCGGTGGAACCTGAGCTGATTTGGAATGAAGTTTCCTCCGGCGCCCACAGCAGCAGTGGTTTGCACTCAGGCCCCTCCGGCGAAGACCAGCAGTGACCTGTTGTTGCACATCGCTAGAGCCAGGCGCGGCATTGCGGCTTTCGTGCTCTGCTGTCTGGCGGGCTTGCCGCCGCCAAGCAGTGCCGGCGCAGTCTCCACCAACTTCCCACTGAGATTTGGCGAGAGAGAGGCACCTTCAGCAATCTGTGGGGAGGCAGGGCAGGTGATGGCGATAGTAGCACCAGGGCGACGGCATCCCCATCAAACTGAAGCCATCGAAGCAACAGACGTCGCATGCGACGGAGCTTGTTTCGGTACCAGCTATGATCTGGACTCCTATAGCACCCGGTAGCCCTAAATGCTCTCAACATGCTCCCCCTCAAAAGGAGTCCGTGAGCACCCGAAAGAATCCGAAAGCCTCAAAAAGGGGGCCGTTTTGTAAGAGCAGGGGCCCATTTGAAATAGGCTTAAAGGGCTTAAAGGGCTTTTTTAATCCAAAGAAGGGCGCCTAAATTTGGACTTTCGGGCGTGAAAGCCAACGCCCAAGAGACCGTGTCCGATCCTCATCCGTTTAAATCCTTATAGGAAGCCTTAAACGCCAGAGCACTGCGGCATAGTCATTGCGGCCAGGTCTGCAGTGTGGCAGACCTGCGAGGCATACGTCGGCTCCTCCGCCTTAGAGATCACGCCTAAGCGCGGTAAAGACCCATAAAAAGCCCTCAAACCCTTGAAACCCCAAGACCCTAAACCCACCCCCCCGCGCTTAATAAATGTAGGAGTGGTGGGGGGCGCAGAATTGCAGGACATGTTTTCCTACAATTGCCAGTGTCCGTGTCCAGCGGAAATATGCCGGGGTATGCGTGGCTTGCCCTGCACGAGGTAGCTGCAAAACGTGGACCCAGACGTGGGATCCTACAATTGACACATTCGTATCGCTGGAGGAGTGAAAATTGTAATCTACATTTTCTGCTCCCCCCCATCCTAAGCACGGGGGGCTCTAAACCCGACGAAGCTCAAAGCAACCATCCTACACCCTGACCCTGGCTGCATTCAGCACGGCGTCCTGAAGTTTGGTTGTGTGCTTTGGGGGCGACCTGGTGCGATTTCAGGACTCTCCGCAGCAGCCCATTCGGAAGTGAGGTGGGAAGCTGTGGAATTGCAACTCACCAGATGCCTTTTTTGCAGTTTGCGGCTTAGGGAATCTCACGACTGGGTGTCGAGACACTCAAAATGCCGCTTTGTTCTGCCTTGCGCAGAACCTACAGGTTTTGTGGTTTCTGGATGTCTCTCGGTTTGAGGGAGCAGAAAAGTTGCGATAGTTGTGCAGGAGGTATTCTGCCCTGCACAGTCTCGGCCAATCACTCGCTCTGGCTTCCGCTTCCGCAGATCCAGTCAGAAAGTCGCTTGTGTGAGGACGAAGCTCACTCTGGATTCTGTCTGCCTGGTGTTGAGACGCTCATGGAAAGGCAGAAGGGGCCTTTTGTTATCGTGCTGGCGGGTTTCGTCTTGGAGCCCCGTTACGCTACTGAAAGCATGCCTGAAGCTCGGAGGCAACGTGGAAGCTGCATTTCTCTATGCAAGTGTCGGTGGCGAGGACCGGCGAGGAGTCACCATTTGCACCCTTGCACTGAGTAGCATCAGCACTGAGGCTTCATCAGGCCTTAGCACCCACGGCCCAAAACCTAAGACGCCCCAAAAAGAGATAAGGGTCGAACATGCCTGGGTCAAATCCAGCGCCCTACTTTGAAGGTTTTTGGGGCATTGACATGTAGGCTCCAGCTCCGTTCGCTTACAGCGTCTCGAGCTCGCTTCAACTCGTTTGAGTTTTGTCAAAGCATTTTTCTCCCCCGACACCCCAAAGCAGCGCTATGCACGCCTAAGCATCAAACTCTGAGCGATTGCCATTGTAAAAGTCAGGAGCTCCAGACGCTCCATCACTGACACCCCAAGCTTCGCGCTTCGCATGGCGCCGAAGGATAGGGATAGGTGAGGGGTGCGAAGCCTTCATGTGAGACGTCCTAAAGCTGCCCTGTAAATCCCAAGCCCAAGGCGATCCTCCCAGCAACCCAGGGCCCAGTTTTCGATTTGCGGGCTCTAAACTCACAGCCGGAAACATTCTGGTAAAAGTCAAGAAGGGCCGCTCCCATCAACATGGGTCTGAGTTTGGAAAGTTACCCAGTAGAGTAGTATAGGTTCTGCAACACGAATCTCCACGTGTTGGGCTCTCACAGGTTAAAGGAAGCTGCAGTGTGCAAGTGTGCATGCCTCGGGCTCGCAGTGTTGGTTTTGACCTTTGCATTCAACCGATTTCAACAGTGGCGAGAAGCAGATGGCCAGCAGCACTCCAGAATCTCCATGGCCAAGACCTCAAGCAGCAAAGCGCCAGAGGCCCGAAATCCAAATCCCTAAACCCCCTGCACTCCCAAGACTCTTGCTAATCAATAGAGGAACAGGCTCAAAGTGGACCATCGTGAGTCTCAGGTCTCGCATCCTCCCAGTGCCTCTGCTCGTACGGGGGCGTTCCCTTTCCCTTTGGACAGCAAGGCACCGAGAAAAACATGGAAGCTTGAGCGCATGCCCCCGTATCGCCATACGGGGGTCTAGCATTGTGAGCGCCAGCGGAGCTCCGTCGGTGCCTGCACTGTGACCTCTGTGCAGTGTCTAAAACTGCTCCATGCAGACACAACTGTGGTCTAAATCTACTTCACGTGGCCCCACTGTCACTGCGCCTGCAGTCACTTGGCTGTTTTGCTTGGTTGCCTGCTGACATAGCAGTGGTCACAAATCTACTTCACTCGGCCCTCTGCGCCTGCAGTCACTTGGCTGTTATGCTGGTGTTGCCTGCAGACATAGCAGCAGACAAATCTACTTCACTAGGCCCATCGGTGTGGCCTTCTTCACTTTCAGCTAGAGCTTCTAACTGCCATACCACTACGGCCTTTCTGGCCAAGCCGTGCTGGCTTCTGCGTCTATCCCGCCAGCCAGGATGGCGCTTTTACAGTAAAACAATAATACCTTTGTGCTTCCGCACTGGCGGTGTTGACTGTACTGCAGATGGTTGCCCTGACGGCGCCAAAATGCTGAAGTTCTGCTGAATACCCTAAACCTTGCATGAAGCCTAGCACCACCCTTCAATCCTGAGCTCTGAACCCCAAGGCAGGGGCCAGACCAAAGAGGTTCTGAGAGGCGCGCAGGCTTGCTGAAGGTCCCAAGACGTCTCCATGAAGGTAAAAGCTGGAGTCTAGAACTTCCGATTCCGGGCACTGGAAGGTCTTTAGTAGAGCCACTGCAGCTCTGGAGTAAGGGAGGGCTGTTGGGCTGTTTGGGGGGTCTAGGAGATCTTCCAGATCCGTGACGGCACCGATGTGGGTTGGAGCCTATATGCGGCCTGTGAGAATCACCGGGGATTCAATCCCATAAGAACTCCCACATCCCTTGAGACGGTTATCTGCGAGTCCTGCCCATTCCTGGCAGGTGCAAGCACGGAGACCCAAGCACTCAGGAACACCACCTTCGGTACGACCTCTTCGAGCCATGATGTGAACTTGTGGGCAGAGCGGCGTGCGTGGGCCTGGGAGCAGACGTAGACTGCCAAGTGGGTTTGAGAGCTCAACACGGCATTTCACTCTCCTTGCTTTCTCGCAGAAAAGCCCGGAGCTCCGAGCATCTGCAGTAAGACGCTGGTGAGGGCTTCCAAGACTGCTTGCAAAGGCCCCCGAATTGCGGAGGTGGAGGATTTGAGGTTTAGGGCTTCAGGGCTTGGGGGCCTGAGGGTGGCCACGACATGGAGCTAGGGAGTTATGAGATTCTTTGTTGTATGCGTTGTTGAGCCTGCCTTTGGAGTTGGCGTCTTCAAGTGCCTGGGGGATATGGCGGCATCAACGAAAGTTTGCAATGTGAGGGAGGGCTCATGTGCGGGTCGAACCAGCTTCCACTCGAGCTAGACTGAGCTGCGAGTGGCGAGTGCATCAATGTAAAGCGACTGGGGCTGGTTGAAACGGTCCCTGCATCTTGGTTTTGCCCAGTCGCTGCAACTCGGCTTGATGCCACCCTCCAAACGAGAAGCACAATGTGCTTTAGGGCTGTTTGACATATCTTGAAAGTGACACCGTTTCCCAGCCACTTTATGCAGTTCGCTTAGTGCACAAGCACCAAGCCTCAAAATCTCACAGGATGGGAAGGCTCAGGCACAGGGCACGTGGCCGGTAGTTTACTGGGGCACTACAGCTTACAAGGCTAGCATGTTCTATCAGAAAGTGACTTCTCCTTCCCTCCCCGGCGTTCCATTTGGAGACCAAGCTGCTCAGATCTTCGTGATTTGAGGGCCGTTTAAAGTTCCGTTCAGCAGCTTTCCTTTCCGGGACCGAGAAGACGAAGGAAGGAGGACTGAAGTTTCAACACACCTTTTCCAAGTTTTGCCCGAAGCCTTGAAGCTACGGGACACCCTTAAAGGGAACCCTTTAATCGAACCTGTAGTACCCTGCAAGGGAACCCTATTTTTAGGAACCCATAATACCCTTCAGGGTCAGTGCAGGGCCTCAGCGCGGGGCCTCTTCGCCAGCTAGCTCTGTAGCGGATTACCACTGTGTGGATTTGTAGGGAGCAAGGATTGTGCGAACCGGAGCAGCAAGTCTCCAGCGTCGCCACAGCCACTGGTGAACGTGGGTGTCGGGGGCCTCGCCCAACGGCCGACCATGCCCTTTGCCGTGCTGTCGGGGTGGACGCATCCCGCATCACCGGGTGTCGGACGCAGTTTGGCATGTTTCCCGCGTGCTGCAGTTCTGCGTCGCCACAGAGTCATCAAGAGTCTTCTTCCGAGCTTCGCCCTGGCAAGGAGATGTTCGTGCTCTAGAGCTCCCAGCGCAGAGTCACATGCTCCTAGAGCAGCACACATGCGTCATACACCTGCTGTATTGGATTCAGGGTTGACGGTTTAGGGGTGTAGAGGAAGGGCGCCTTTCACACAAAGTGGCCCGGCTGCACCGTCCGGTGATCTTTTCTTGCAGGCTAAAAACTCATGTTGGTGAATTTGGGGCGTGTAGGGTGGCAGCACAGCTGCTTGAGGCCACCATGAACAGAGGTTCGGTGGAGCGCTCGGAATGCGTCCTGAAACCTGAGTGTTTCGGCACATGTCACAGGACTGCTTCTGAAGTTCTGAAATTGAAACGCAAGAGGAGCTTTCAACCGCGAGGAGGCCAGGCATAGATCTGGTCGCATCAACTGTGAGCTTTGTCGTTGGACGTTGCCCGGGAAGACTAAACATCTCCGAGTTTGTGAGCACAGGGCATAAATGCGGCATGAACTCCTTGCAGTATACGGGAGCTCCTTGACATGGTGCGCTTCTTGCTGAGG